CTGTGATAGCAGCAGCTGCACTGAGGCCAAGTTTACCTTCCCTTGTGCCCTTGGCTGGGGACAGGCACCGCCCGGCACCTGTATTCCTGTGCCAACAGGCCCAGCCAGTGCGAAAACTCTTGGTGACGGTAGTGGATGATGCAGGTGTTGAGCAGCACAGCAGCCGAGAGGTCAATGGCTGTGACCTAGAGCAGGGAAAGGGCCAGGTGGCAAAAAACTCATGCCAGGAGCCAAACCAGCCACCCCCAGGGGAACAGAGCATGCCCGGCTCACCTGCACGCTGGTCTTCAGGGAGTTGAGGCACACGATGCGTTGGCGGCTCTGGGACAGGAGAAGGCCATCTGGGGGGACAGAGGAGTGCAAGTGAGGGGTGGCAGAGGGCAGTGGTGGCAGCCCTATCCCATGGGTGCCCTTCTGGCTACTTGCCCTCCAGCTGGAGGTCTACACTCATTTGGTCCAGGTCTGACGTGGGCGTGAAGTTGCGCAGCGGGATTTGCTCCTCCTCACGCTGATATAGAAACTGCAGCAGCTTCAGGCTCCAGGTGAGGTGCCTGGAAGACACAGAGAGTCAGAGCCAGGAGGGAACTGCAGTGCCATGTCCTCCATCTCCCTGTGTCTCACCACCAGCTGACCAGCTGACATGGACAAACACAGCAGCCAGTGCCCAGCTGCAGCCCAACCCAGTGCTCTCATCCCATGGCCTGAGGATCCTGTCAGCTGTCCTACTGGAGAACCAGCTCACGTGCCTTCCTCCCTCCCCAAGTGCCTGGCTCCAGGCCAAGCTCAGCCCTTCTCACTGGAGTGGGTTCTAGGACTTGCTCTCTGCAGTCTGGCAGAGCCAAGGGATGAGCAGGGAGCAGCACAGCTGTCCCTAAATCCATATCCCCAGCATTAATTTAGACTCAGACAGCYTYCCCCTCCACCTGCCTCCTTACCTCTTCTGGCTGTTCATGGACAGCACCATGCTGGTGTTCTCCAGCTTCATCTCCACCCTCCTRGGGATGAGCTTCAGTGTGTCCCTGCTCAGCACAGACATGGACTTCAAAGGCTCTGCTGGGCCTGGAGAAGGACAGAGGGTCACAGGGAAGGATCTTGCCCAATCCCCCACACCCTGGAGCAGGAGGGAGTGATCCCACAGCCAAATCCCTCAGGTTCCAGTGCAGCTATGGGAGCTGCCAGCCCCTGCCCTGCCCAGAGCTTGTCCCCTGTCCCTGTCCTGACCTGTGCTGGGCTCTTCCTCCGTGCTGCTGCGCTGGGCCCCGGCAGTGACACGGTGCAGGAGGGGACTGCAGAACAGCCCCTCGTGCAGCTCTGCCTGCAGTGTCCGCACGCAGAGCCGGACGCCCACCAGCCGCCGCTTGCTGCTGATCTCCAGKGACAGGGAGAGTGCCAGGGCCAGCTCTGCCAGGCACGTGTCATCCTGGGCACARGGGACACAGCAAGGAGTGCACAGGGAGTCACACAGTGTCCTGCCAGTGCGTGCTGCAGGTGGAGAGCTGGGCACAGCACAGAGCCAAGCACCTGGCAGCACCACCCAGCCAGCCTCAGGGACACTCTGGAACAGGTCCTCAGCGTGTCCCAGAGAGCCACTGCCCCATCTCCAAGCGTGGAATTTCTCCCTCCTCCAGCACTCACCAGCTGGCTGCTCCGGAGGACTTTGCTGTTCACCTTTGTCAGGCTCACCTCGCACGTCAGGCTGGGGAGAGCAGAGAACACAGGGGAGGATGTGAGTCTTGCTGCTGCCAAAACAAGTCCCTGCCCTCTTTCCTGTGCGACACAGGGACCCCAAGTCCCTACTCCAAGTGCTCCCAAAAGCATGCCCTAACTCCATGCACGCCACATTATTTAGAGAACACACAACTCAAGCTTCCTGTGACAGGAAAAGGAACCAGGCCAGGCTCAGAGGAGGTTAATGCGTCACACCACAGGTGACACGGGATGCTGCTGAGTGGGACAGAGAGAGGACAGACAGCAGGCTGGGGTTGGAGGAGCCTCCCTGCCCTGGAAGCAGAGCTGGGTACGAGCACAGCATTACCTCTTCCCGTTGCCATTCAGGAGGAGACGTGTCTGGCTGGCCTGGATGTGCCAAAGAGACTCTGAGGTGGCCACGTGCAGAACCATGATGTTGATGGAATCCATGTGGATGGAAAAGAGCTGTGGGAAAGGTGCTGCTGTGAGGGATATCCGACAGCAGCGCAGCCCACAGCAGCCTCTCACTGAAGCAGTGCCTCACCTGGCTAAGGAGCCTCAGCAGGGAGGGTTTAAGAGTCAGGTCTGTTCTGCTTTCGTTTCCATCAGCTTCTCTGGGAGCCTCCGGGACGGGCGGTTGGAACCCAGGGCCTTTCTGGAGATCCGTACGGATCCGCACCTCGCCAAAACACAGCTCGAAGTAGCGCCTGGGGAACAACAGCACAGGCAGCTCTGACAAGAGCCTGTGCTTGGCACAGCTGGCCCTGTCACCAGGGATGTTCCCTACCCCGGGGACATGAGGGATTGGCACAAGGGCACCCACAAGACACTGCCACCTCAAAGAGCGGGTCACTCCCCTACAGAGCAGACCACAGGRAAATAGGGATGGCAGAAAGGTGTAAGGGCAGCAGGATGACAAGCAGGGCCAGGGRTGAGGCAGACCCTCAAAGGGAGCAGGCGGGGAGCTGGGGTGGGGGTACGTACGGCAGCTCCCGGCTCAGTTTGCTGGAGATCCAGACATTGTCGATCTCCTGCAAGGACACACAAGTAGATCAGGGAAGAAACAACCAGCCCCTGCCTTGTGATGCTCATCCCAACATTCCCCCAATGCTTGGGACCAAACCCCAAGTCTGGCCATGGAAGGAAGGGCCTGGCACCAGCCAKGAGAGTGTCCAACAGGAGAGTGGCCTCATGGATCTGCTGCCAGTCTAGAAGTGACCATAAGTACCCTCCCTGACCATCTGCCAGTGACCACCGCTCGCCCAGGTACCCACCACAGTCTGCTGCTCCCGCTGGAACTTGAGGCTGATGTTCTGGGCCCAGAAGAAGCCAAAGGAGCCGATCTTCAGCTCTGCATGAAGTTTCTGCCGGCACCAGGTGACAGCCAGGCGACATGCCAGCCATCTGTGGGGACAGGAGGAAGGCCAGGGTCAGTCTCGCAGCTAGGGCTGGAGTCTAGGGATGCTCTTTGGCCTTCAAACACCAGCTCCAGCACCCACAACTAGATAAGAGCTCCCAGGTTGGGGAAGAGACCCTTCYGTAAGACCCCAAGCCCCTGGCACCCAATCCTACAACCCCCCAAAACCCCTGCAGGCTCCCCCCCAAACCTCTCCCCCAGCCCTGCAAGCCCCCAAATTCCTGACAGTCTCCCAAGCTGTCCTTGCCCCCCTTACTCTCTTCTTCCCTCCTCCCAGACCCCCAATACCTCACCCCTCAGTCCTCCATTTCTGACGCAACCCCAACCAGCCTCATCACCCCCCCAAAACTCCCGAGGGCCCCCAAAACACCCGCACCCCCCACCGCCAGCCCCTCGGGCCTCCCCTTGACCCTGGCCAGCTCCTCCCACCCCGGCAGAGCCCCACCCGCCGCGCTGTCACCCCCCCAGCCCGCTGTCACCCCACCGCCGGCACCGTGTCCCCTCCCCAGCCCTGTCACACCCCCGGAACCCCCCCAGACCCGCTCGCCAGGCCCTGACCGCGCCAGCAGCCCGGCGAGCAGCGCGACGAGGACGATGGCGAGCAGCGCGGCGGGCAGAGGCGGCGGCATGGCGGGCACGGCCCCCGGTGAGACCCCCGGTG